CCTCGCACAGCCAAAAGACGGGATAGAGGGGCTTGGTGAAGACACTGTGGAAGGAGTGGATGAGCTGCGTCCTCTCCCCGAGGCCGTAGAAGGAGAGGAGCCCCTTGCCGTAATCCAGGCGGACTCCCAGGTTCTTATACAGCTGCTCCTGGATTTTCTCCGGCCGGCCCTTGTGCCAGGCCAGGTAGCAATCCTCCCGCACCTGCAGCCCCCACGAGCCCCCGTCCAGCCCGATGTTGAACTTGTGGCCCTGCGGCCACGCCTGGGGGAGACCATGATAGGTCACCCCCAGGATGACGGAGTGGCTGGAGATCTTCACCTCCCAGTAGTGGTGGCCGTGGCCGTAGCCCTGCTCGCACAGCACCTGCCAGGGCTCGAAGCGGGGTCCCTGCTCCTGCCACCCGCAGACAGCGCTGGGGCTGTGCTTGGCTTTCCGGTTCCCTTTTGACAGCTCCAGGTACTTGTTCGCCGTCTTGGGCTCGAAGGTCAGATTGCGGTGGTCTGGGAAGAGCGACAGCACGGACGGGGTTGAAATGCTTCATCACGCCCTTGGCATGAGCCCCCCCCCTCCCAAGAGCGGCGCTGCTTAAACTGCGCAGGGCTGGCTCCCCAGACAGAAGGCAACAAGTTGTAGCGTGGTGGAAGGGGAAAGGGAGCGGGCTGAGATGCCATACCTGCCCACCCGCCTGCTAGGAGGAACGGGAACAGCCCAGAAAGAGCTGGCGAGGCACCGAGGTGCGACGCTTCGCCCAGCCCTTGCACAGCCCAGCTCACAGCCAGCAAGAAACGGCGGCTCCACGGTCATTTTGGAAGAGAGGTGCTTAGGTTTAAGAGCAAAAATTTGAGCGTGGGTGGGGAGAAGGAGAGAAAACCAGGTGTCAAGAGAGCAAATGTGGTATTGTGGGGAGGAGTTCTCCTCTGTAGGGGCTGCAATAACTCCTCCTGCCACAGGCAGTCGCAGACCACCAGCACCTCACCTTCCTCCCACAACAACCCAGCCCAGACAGCTACGCTGGGCTCACGCCTGCTGCCCATAAATAGCATTTCTTTTTCCTGTTAATGACCCTGAGAATGTTTTGTGGGGCCCGATGGAAGGAATCCTTACAGGTCCCATAGGCATTGATTGCCTCCCTGGCAAGAGAGACGTGACCAACATGCCCTAAACGTTATCCAACCCTATTCCCAACAGGGCGGAGGTGGGAAAAGGAGTGTTGAGGAAACCCCTAAGGAATTAGAGTGGGATGGACCCAGGGAGGGAAGAGGACACGAAAGACAGCAGCTGGGGGCACTGGGGCCATATCCTTGGAGAGAGCATTGACTGCAGGCAGGGATCTGGACTGGTGCTGGCTGTGGGTGCTCGCTTGCCAGCTGCTGACGTTGCCTGCCTGCAGGAAAGCGCTGTGTCTAAATACGGGTGGTTGGGAACAGGCACGTAGCTCCTGCCCAGGTGAGATGCCCAAGGTGGCTCAAAAGGAGAGGATGGAGATGAGGGAAGATCTGGAGCAGTGACTGACCCAATGCTGGGCACTGGCAGCCCCAGTTTCCATGGGAAAGTGTTCCCCAGTGCTGCTAATCCCCCTAACAAGCCCTTTCCTGGCCACGCAGCATCCCCCAGCCCATCCACCTCCAGCCGTGCACTACGCTTCTCTGCACTGAGGCAGAGGGATTGGGAAAGCCAGGGAAGGAGCCCCTGTCCCCGCAGCCACGACCACCCTCCTCCCAGGGAAGAGCCCAGCTTGGTGAAATCTCTGCCTGCTGGGGATCCCAGTGGGGTGCTGTCCCTCCAGACCCCACGTGCTCCTCACCCTTCAGAAGCTCAGCTCGGAGCTGGCACGCGGGGAGAGGGGCCACCACCTTCACCGCCGGCTCCTGGGGATGCACCAGGCCTGTGGAGGATGGGGACAGGCATTTTGAGTGATGCCACCCAAAAACTTGTTCCTTCCTGGCTTCGATGGGAGAAGGAGGAGGAGGAAGTCCATTGTACCCAAGCCTGGAAGCGAGCACCATGTCACCATGGTTCGGCAGTGCCAGCAAGGAGGGGCCACAGGGAAGCCACCCAGCTCATCCCACCCCATT